TCCAAAAGTTGGCCCGCCATTTCGCCCAGTGAAATATGAATATGACATGCGAGAAATTCGAGTGTCATATGCAGTTTCCAAATAGCTTACAAATGCCAGGAATTGTATGCGCAGTGTAACACGAATTCAGGAATAATGTACCATGGTTGACATGAAAAATGAGCGGAACAATCTAGCTCATTAGCTACTTTCTTGCGCGTCAAGAATCTTAATAAAGAGACCATCATTCTGCAAGAATTATAGGAAAGAGACTGTAATTCAATTGACAGCAATAAAATCAAATATGTCAATGAAAAATGATTACGAATTTCAAAATCAAACTATTAATCGGCATTTTCCAATTTAAAATTTGAAAATTCAAATTCCTTATTTGAAATTTGAAGATTTGAAGTTTCTATGTGAATTTGGAAACATAAATTGAATTTTAACAAAATTAGAAAACACAAAATTTAGAAAATTTGCATTTTCAAGAATATCCTTGGAAATTTAAACAATTTTTAACAAAATTAGAAAACAAAATTTAGAAAATTTCGATTTTCCAGAATATTCTTGGAAAATTAAACGATTTTTAGCAAAATTAGAAAACAAAATGTAGAAAATTTCCATTTTCCAGAATATCCTTGGAAAATTAAACAAACCAGTACCAAATTGACCAAGTGCTTCCATTTTCTCCAATTTTAGGATCTCTCCTCTTCCCTTATCGTACAATTCAATTTTTTATGGCCAAAAATAATGTTGGTGCCATTGTTTACAATCTTGTTAGCTCACTAAATATTTAAATCACGTTTATACGATGGCTAGTGCCAAGATTTGTAAATTGGGAAATTTGGTAAGAGACGATTTGTAGAAACTCGATACGAAATCACTCAAATTAACTCCACGTCTTGGAGAATCCGGAGGGAAAGGATTTAAATTAAAACCTGGTGCCGGATGCTACGACTATGGCTGGCGCCATATCAAAAGGCACAGTTGCTTCTCACGCCAAGTATGTAAGAAATGAGAACGACTACCTCGATCATGTCTATTCCTGAGTCCAACGTTTCCTAGCCTGGTCAACTTCATTTCATTTTATTTCACATTCACCGAGAGTAAAAGTTACAAGCCACGACACCTCATTTCGAGGTTACATGGTCATTTCTCATTCAGTATTCTGTCGTATTTCGTGTATGCTACTCGTGCTTGAGGATCATGCTTGTGTGTCATTGCAAAAAAATGAGTTAGATTTCAGACATGAAAGAAAAAAAATAAATCATGAAAATAGTATCTTCATTTTCGAAAATAGAATGCACCATTTTTTGGTTTTCAGATTTCTTTGTGTTAAAAAATAAGAAGCTGACTAAATTAATTTAGGATTGACTTATTTATTGATTTATCTAAATATACTAATGAAAATGGTAATTTAAAATTAACGACTTTTCCAAGAATTCGGTTTTAATATTATTTCTTTACAAATTACGAAATTATATTAAATATTTTTGAAAAAATATTAGTTTATATAATTTTTGTTTATATATTTTTTATTTTTTTATCTTTTTTTTTTTGGTACAATTTTCTTTCTAGTTTCCTGTAGATACCTACAACTTTATGGTACATTTGGTTAGTGCAG